GAGAAAGAAATGGAATTGGAACGAAGTCGCGAATAGATACGTAAGTACGTATAGCAAATATTATTACGTAGGAAGAAAACGATAGATATAGGAAACAAAGGTAATAAGAAAAATACGAAAAGATATTCCGTTCGATCCGATAATATTTTTATAACGAAAAATAGATCTTCCATGTGTGTGTGTGTTGCGTTGCGCGTGTGATTCAAAAGAATTCCATGAAAAATGTGATAAAAGAAAAGAGGAGAAATTAGAGTAAATAAATAATTGACGAGGATGTCGGATTGATGAAATATTCGGTTATGTCAAAGTGAAAATTCGATACGGATTCTCTCGTTGTCGATAATATGTTCCGAGCATTGGACAGGAAACACCGATTCTTATCCGAATCACTGCTCCCTTTCTCTCCTCATTTCTATCTCTCGCTCTATCAATTTTCTATGAATCCATCGATGAACGAAAGGATACGTAAGAGGAATAAAATAAAACGGAAGTGGAAGTTCGAAAATCGAAATTGCCAATTCGATCAAGAATATCGTTTTTGGTTCGCGAGTTCCGGTTACCAATATCGACGATCGAAGAGGAAACGAGGCGTTTGCTATCTAAACGCGTGGCTCATTTAGACCAGTATTCAATTTTTCCATCCAACGCGGCGATACTTATGACTCTTCGTCGCGTTGAAATCTTTCGAACAGCTACCGACTTACCGATCGAATCGCGATACGAATCAAGCTTTCTTAGTTGATCGGCAAGATCATTCATCATTTGGAAATGAAATTTCAACGAAAGATAACGTCTACGTAAAACGAGAGAAAATAAACAACTCGTTAAATCTTTCGCATAATCCTCTCGATATTTTTATCAATTGTTCCAGACGAGACAATTGTAAAATTGTAAAAGAGAAAAATTGTAAAATTCACGTCTTTGATATTTGATAAGGATTCGATCGGAGGAATAAAGAGAAGAATCGGAGATAAAGAGAAAAGTTACGTAAACGAGTGGGGGAGAAATAAAAGATTTTATTTATAAAGGATCGAGCGATCCGAACGGAGGAACGAGAATTTCTTTCTTTCGCGATAATTATAATCGTAACGCAAATGGAAGGCAAATAATAGGGAAAACACGAGGGAGATGCGTCGTTATTTGAGAGAACACTCGACCAGAAAATATTCTCGTGAAAGAGATACCCTTCTCGAGAAATCTCGTAGCGCTCGCGAACATGTTTCTTAATAAACGGACGAAAAAACGACATGCTTTTCATCAAGTATCGCTCCTATATTTTTCTTCCTTTTGCTCGAATGATAAAATATTTCGATCCGAGCATTCGATATTCTCTAATAATTGTTGTATTCATCTATCGAAATCGAATACCTTCGAACAAATCTGAACAAAGAATCGATATTTTCTCTCTAAAAAAAAAAAAAAAAAGGTAATAAAAATTCTAAGATACTCGTGGAAAAAATATGTACGTAGCTACGATAAGAATTAGATTGGATTTCTCCCGAGGCGAAGTTTCAAAGGGAGACGCAAAAAATCAGTGGATCGCGTCGCTTTACCCATTCGAGCCTAACCGATCCAGAAGCAAAACTGGAGAAAGATGGTGAGAAAAACTTTGAAAGAAACGTCGAACCGGAAAAGAAAGAAAAGACAAGGAGGAGAAAAGGAAAAAGAAATGATCCAATAAAGAGGAGGGGATCCGGTTAAAGATTCGTTGGACGTACGTAGATGAAAATTCCAAAGCGGAGAGAGGAACGATCGAAGGAGATAAGGAGAGAGAAAGAGAGGGGGGAAGCTGAAACGGTGGATACGAGAAGAAGAAGAAGAAGAAGAAGATTCCTTCTCTTTTCTCTATTTTCCTTCACGAGGAACACTCTTAGCCGTTTTTCATTCCGGAAGATCGATCCTCGATGCCGCCTTCTGCCTGACCTAGAACGATCAAAAGGACCACGAAAATCCGTAGAGAGAGAAGAGGAGAGAAGGGGAAAAGGAAGACGCTTCTACTCGAGGGAGTGAAAGAACGTGTAACAATAATCAAATACCGCGGGGAGTGGCTCGACCTCGTGGGAAATAAAGTACGATAGCAATGGAAATTGAGAATTCGATCGGTGAAAAGCGATCATCGGATACAAACGCGATACCGCTCGAGCAACGCGTTCACCTTCGTTACCAATGTGTTTCCTTCTATTTACCGAATAAGCAGGGATTTTTTACGATATCACAAGATCTCGGGGAAACGAGTTTTCTTCGCAAGTTTTCAATTTTTACGTTCCACATTTTTTTTCATAATCTTCGAAATTCGAGCAAGAAGAAAGAGAATTCATTTTTCAAGATTTTCAATTTTCCCAACCTTCTCCAAAAACCTGATTACAGATAAACGCGAAACGATGCTGTTAATTCTCTTCGAACAACAAGTTTCTCGCGGTTTCTCGTAACTCTTATCGATTCGACGATCGTTTATTCCGTTTAATCGCACCGTGAATCCCTCCAAGATTTCCTCGCTGGATCATCCTCGAGAATTATCTTTCCCTTTCGGCTATATCTGTTCACGGCAGTTTCATCTACATCTACGCGAACAATCAAAATCTTATCGAAACCCTTTGCCCCGTCAAATTTCCCCGTTCGTCTATAAAAAAAAAAAGAGAAAATCTCACACTTTGAGATCGAGCAACTAATTACAAATTTTCACCAACATTTTTGCGCGTGGACAGAATTATCAACTTGAAATACGCCGAGAACGTTACAGAGGACGTTCTATCTTTTCCTCTATTTTCGTTGATTTGAAAGATTTCACGAAAGAGAAAATTCAGTTTTTCGTCAAAATTATTCGTCCCTCTCCTTTCTCTCTTCAATTCAGACAATTGAAAAGAAGGAAAAATGATTGGTTTCTAATTTTTTCCCGTCCTATATCAAAATTTTGACTTTAAATAAACGTTGATCGCCATATTTTGCATTACGATTGTCGATCGTAACGATCACGATTAATGAAATTTCTTCCGATTCATGAACCGATTCATGCTGATTCAAAGTTTTCGATAAAACGGTAGAAAAATCCGTGTATTCGATCAATAAAGGAAATCGAGAAAAATCAACGACTCGATATAAAATAAACAAATTGTTTAAAAATCGTAAAATGTATTTAAAAATTAACCGGTCATAAATATGTTGTTGCAAGATTAGTCGAGACGAGAACCCTGTTTCTTCGCTCGAAATTAATGCTCGTTTCTCTGTAACGTAATACGTATTTCGAACGAAGAGGATTGAAATAAAAATATATAATCATCCACTCGAGAAGTAATCCACTCTTCGTAAGGAAATACGTAGCAGAAATTTAATCCTAAGAGAGAAGTTATACATCTCATTCGAGCGTCGTACAAGTCTCTATTTTCCTCCATTTCACGATCAAATACGCGAAACTGCGATCGTTTCGAGCATACGTTTCATTATTTTTTCACATAGTGCCGCGTCGGTCATCCCTTGTTTCGCCGAGTTGGCCTTTCAATTTTCACCGCGCGATCCCGAAGGACGCGTGCCACTCGAAACAGACGGTCGGACAGAAGCCGAACCCATCAAACATGCAACAACGACGAATGAAAAGTAACGAGTCGTTGTTTTCCGTCTACTCGTCCTTACCCCGTTGCCGGTGTTCAACTAAATAATAATATCGCGGCGCTACACCCCTCGAGACCAATTTCCATCGATCGAGAGAGACCCCCCCCCCCCTCTGTCTCTCGATTTTCCCTTTGAAAGGGGGAAACGAGATTTCAAACGGATAGTATCGCGAGGCCGAATCGTGTAACGATTAAAATATAAGATAAATGGAAATTGAAGGGACAGAGACAGAGTTGCGTTGGTTGGTCTTTAGCCACCGCTTCTGCTGTTATTACGAGCCATTATGAGCTTCAAAGCTGGAATATGGAACAAGTTACTATATACGCGACTTGGTCTCATTGTTTCGAGGGCTGCTTTAAAATAATTGCTAAGCGCTATTGTCCACGCGACAATCACCACTTTCATATCCATTACATTCACAGAAGCGAGAGGTGTTGTCTCGCGCTAATCCTTCTTCGCTGAATCGAAAATGAAACGACCAACTTTAATAGCATCCCTTCTTTTCCCATTCTTTCTGCCATCGAGAAAAATGGAGAATAAGAGATGTGCCCACGCTACTTTCGCGCAAATGACAATGAATTTTCTCAAATTTTTCATAGTCCCCCGAAAACAACGAGTAATTCCGTGTTTTCGAAATGTCATCTTGCATCGAAAGATAATAATTGACATTTATTTATTATCAATTTTATTCCGTAATTGTTTCAATTATCCTTATTTCTACTCCTCTATGGTATATTCCTAGCTATCCCATAATAATTTTTCGAATTTTCAAAATTCTTTCTATCGGACAACAATATCAAAATTCGGGTAGAAAAAGAAATGTACAAACGAGCCAAGCAAAATTTCTTTTCGATGTTCGAGTCAATCGAACAGCGTACGTATATATAATCTTATTATTACATTCTCGTATCTTTACATATATATATATGTATATGCGTATCTCTTTTTCCTTTCTACGTCTTTCCCTACAAATGGAACTGGTTGAAATGGGAGCAAAGGAATCGGTCAAACTCGAGCCAGCCAAACTTCGCTATGGAAATTCCACAAGAGTGGCAAACATAAAGAAGCTCTTAGAGGAAAGCATGGAAAGTCAAAGAGCGTACGGGTTGGTCTAACACGAGCTTTTCGTAGTGTACGCGTCGAGGTACCGCAATCGCATGAATTTCTGACGGGGGACAAAATTCTGGAAAAGTCTTTCCACGCCCGACATGTATATTATTAACCGATTAATTACGATTAATTACGAATCTCGACTAGATTCCCCGTGGATCCTCGAATTAGACTTCGCGCGTATAATCGTCGCATCGTTCGTAGCGTGAAAGGAAAATGTAACGTAAATTGCCACCGATTCTTTCTTCTTTTCCAAAGATCATCCAAAGATGTTTCGGTTTCAGGCAATAAACTGATCTGCGATTGCAAACTAGCGTGGATCTGGGGTCTCAGGAACGAGACGAAGAACGTAAAGCTGCGGGACTCTCTGGAGGAGCTTACTTGCTTCTTGGAGAGCAATAACGCAACGCTGAAGAACAACAAGGAAGATCTGGAATGGAACGAGGCGCTCGAAAATGCACGAAACACAGGTAAGTTCGCGCGCTGCTTATTATCGCATTTTCTTTCCTTCTCTTCCTACTTTCTCCAACTTTTCTCCACCGTTGTAACGCGTTCCTACGTTACTCGGATTTTCATTCGTATTTCAACGAGATACGAACAGATTTCTGTTACTTAGTCAACCGTAATAATCCAAATATTATTACGATAAATTCGTAATCATTCGTGATCGATCATGATTAGTCTTGGAAATTATTTTCTCTCGTCTAAAGTTATGATTCATCCCGATTCACAACGATTATCGTCGTCAGATTCGATTTACCTCGAATTTTATTTTAACGGACAATATTTTAATAACAATCTCGTATATACTTTTAAGCGATTAAAAAAAATGTAAGGATATGAGAACGAAACGCAAAATTTTACGATTCTTTTGTACGTATTCGAAACACGTTCACTTTCATAGAGAACGGAAAAACGTCCGAATAGTAATCACTCAAGCGTGTTTTGGGTAAGAAAGAATAAGGATCCCTTTTTCGAATCTTTCATGGTCTGCTGGATTATTAACAGAGTGGGATTCCCTTTCCTACGTTGTTTTCAGAATTTACGTTGAACCTTGTCCTATATCGATTTCTCGATTCAATTTTAATCGTCGAGATAAATTTATTTCGACATATTTTTATTCGTATTATTAATTTTCGATCCAAAGAAGTGTTTCTTTTTCTTCTTTCTTTCTATATATCATTTATTTTATGAAGAATTCAACCTCGAGAAACCACTTGTTTTCGTTTCGCAATTTCTTTAAATTAGTAAACAGATGATATCGTTGGAAATTACTGCTCGAGAAATATTCCGAATGCGATTAAACTTGACCTATAAATAAATAAATAAATAAATAAATAAATAAATAAAGCTTTTTTCTCATTAGAAAATTAAACAAATTCATCATCTAGGAGAAATGTTACGTTCATCTCGTTTCCCACGATACATAAAGGGAAAGGGAAAAAGGGAAAGAATGGAAAACGCGTATTCGACTACTGCTCGATATACATTTTCTTCAAATTTTCGATTCTCCCCTGTTACAGAGGAATATCGGAGCGGGAATTCGAGAGACGGCAGTATCGAGGACGATGACGCTTACATGGGCGACGAGTACGAGAGTAAAGATGGATACGAGGATTCTTCCTCGAATTCCGATTTTCAACCAAAGGTAAGATATACGTTTACCTTTCATATTTTCCTTTCTTCCAACCAGGGAAACGGTATCGATTCCGCATCGCGTTTCTTTTCATCCCTCGCAAAATTAAACGTCCAATGATCTATCGTTGTTGTACCATCTATTTTATATATAGTTTATCGTGCTTTTATGTCATTTTTCCAAGAACGATCGAATCTTGAGATTTTTATTATTTTAACAATTCGAGTTAAGTATAACGATAAACATTTGTTTTGTAGAACGATATGTAGAACGTTCGCAACAATTCCCTCTCTTTATAAAGAGAGTTTGTATATCGTAAACGGAAATCGCGAGGGAAATTTTTTCAAATCGATTTGTTTGAGCGTACCAATACGATATAATCAGGGATAAAATCAAAAATTTTAAGAAACGTTCGATGAGATTGAAACACACCGTTTACAATACCCGTTTGAAATTTCACGAAACAACGGCATTTTTTCAACGAAACGCCATCTCTCTGAATTATAAAACGTTGTTGCGTAATTTCTTATCGCGCACGCACATACCTTCCATTTCACCAGTTTTTTTTTCGTGAAATTTCTCGTAAATTAACTAGCCAAGCGTGACAATTTTTCGGAAACCGCGACCAAACCGCGAGTAAAATTAATATTTTATTTGAAAAGATATGAACGTTTTATTTTCTCTCTCTCTCTCTCTCTCTCTCTTTTTACGAAGAAAATTTATTTATTCGTTCCCTTTTTTATCTTTTTACGAAATTTTATCACGCTGTAAACTTCGAAACGAACGATTCGTCAACGAATTTGCTAAATTTTTACATACTATTTTTCATAGCACGATTAAAACTCTCAACTTTCTCTCTCTCTCTCTCTCTCTCTCTCTCTCTCTCTCTCTCTCTCTCTCGAATTATCTTTTCCTTTATGCTATGCTTTATATCACTGGAATAATTAGTTTCGAAGAATAAAGAGCGTTTTACACGCGTTGATGAAGAAAAATAAGTATCCGATTATAGAGCTTAAAGTTTAATTAACGATCGCGAGAATTACTCGAAAGGTAAAACCGAGCTGGGACTAACATGCTCTTCTCCAAACAAATTGTTACAGGTACAGATGGTGGAGGGTAAGCTGTGCTACGTGAAGAACCTGTTCGAGCTGAAACTGGAGGAGCTTCCGTGCCCGGAGCCCTCGAGGGAGGATCTCATGGCGTCCGAGCAACCTTCGAGTCGGCACGAGAACGCTCGCGTCGGTTCCTCGGGTTCCATATGGTTCTCATCCTCGGCCGCTCTTATTCGCCTTCACCCGTCCGTCCTTTTGTACTCTCTTCTCCCGCTCCTATCGGTCCTGTTCACGTAGAACCGGCTTTGTTCGCCACCAACGAGCAGATCGCCGGAAGGACGGCCATCCGTCTCCGAGAGAAAGGACGGTTCTCGATATCTCGATACGTAAATACCTGCATAATCGAATCGTGCGAGGTGTGTATCGTCGCGCGTGTCCCCGCACGGAAAATCAAAATTTTATGCTTTTACGCTCTTTCCATCGGTTGGCTAACGCGGGATAGAAATAGTTTCTCCACAAGTTTTTCAAATAAACGCGAAAAAGATTCCAAGACTTTTTTAGAATTCGATCGATCCGAGATTGTTACAGATTATTATAGAGTGTTTAAATTATTATACGCGTATTATACAATCCTTGGCGCGATCACGATTCAAGAGCATCGTTAGAATTTTGAATAGAAATGGATGGACGGTCGAAGGAGCATATCACCGATCCTAGTTTCCTAGCGGAAGAGGAGGGAGCGAACGATGGTTCTGACCCACCACCTTGCGAGGACACGCCGAAAACACGTCGTCGGATGTGGAAACGGAATTATCGAACGTCGATTCCGCCGGATCTACGATATATCGAGATGATAAAAACACCAAAATTGTTCGATTCCCGTTTTTCTATAAGCGCAACTTATCTCGTTATCAACGGTCGCGTACGTTTACAAGGCTGCTTATAACTGCCATTTTTCATTCGTAATTTCGTATATTGTTAACTTTTCGCGCGCGATTTTTCTTATTAACTCGCCCGACGTTAAACAAGTAAATTGTAAATACGCCCGTCAGAAACGGTCTTCGTGCGTTCTTAAGAGAGAGAGAAAAAAAAAAAAAATTGTAAAATAAACCTACGCTCCTTCTTTTATACTTTTACACGGACTAATCTAATATCAAGGATCGAAATTTACCAAGTTGCGACGAATATCATTTAACGAAACGTTTAGCCATTAGTGAAAATCGTGAAATCGATCGTTTCGTGCAACTCGATATTTTTAATTAATTAATTAAAAGAGGTAGGGAAAATGTTGGGAAAATAGCGATAATAAGTTTCATTTCGAATTCTATCCATAAAATTTCTATCCATAAAATTTACGCGTTAAATAAAAAAAATTTCAAATGGATAATCAGCAAAATTTAGCGATGTCGATCGAGTGTGAATTCGCAAATAGAAATAGAAACGAGACTCGTATCGCGATCGATTTTAGGATAAGGGAAAAAATATAAATCCTACCAAGATTTGTTCGTTTCATCGATCACAAGGTAACGTTGTAATCGATTAATTTAATTACACATATCATCAAGGAATTCCCAGAAAACGAGGGGAGGGTGGGTGGAGGAGAATAAATCAAAAATTCCATCAATAATCCAATATTTCCAATTCACCGAAAATATTACTCGCGATTATACAGAATGTTCAGAATATATTCGTGGAACGTGTTCGAAGGATCGATTTCAGAGAAATAAACGCAAAAGTTGATATTTTGCAAAGATTTTTGGGCACGTTTATTAAGTTATAGGTAATTTAAATACTTATAACTTAATAACAAATAAGCGTCGATCGAGCATTTTTGTACTTTTTCAACTTTTGTGTTCGTTTCGATCTGCCAGAGATCGACGAAAGATGTCCCACTTGTGTATCAATCAACGCTTTGTAAAAATCAATATATCTACTTGCATCTTTCCATTTTCACGAAGACTCTTCTGACCGAATCTAATTCATCGTCGTTTAACACCGTTCCAAACGTTTCCCTAAATACAACACACGCGCGCGCACGTATAATATATATTAAAATTGTTTGAACGAGTCGACAATTTCTGATCAGCCGCATCCTCGCGAGACTCTCGGAAGTTGAGCGGAAACGGAAATTGATCGTGAATACGAAGCTTACGAGTCAATTCCCCGTGCAATCGCGTTGATTTTACCGTTATGGATTCCTTTTCTATTCATCCGTTGATCGACCAATATTTAATCCTATTAATTACCATAGGATCAAATATCGATGATTCTCTTTACCGAGGGAACCGAGAAACTAATCTCTAATCTAAAGATTTAAGTATCGAGCCGCTTGATATATCGATTATCCTCAGTTTCATTTCTATCTACCAATGCCATTAATCCATCGAATCGTTCGCGACTTTTCACGATTTATTCCTTTCATTCGTGAATATCGATCGATCGATCGATACAAGTACCTAATAATCACAGACGATTGATCGTCGAACAAATCGTTGTCGACGTTTCGCTAGTCAAGACGCGTTATCGTAGTGTTCGGATTCTAATTAGCGTTGAACGAAAGGAAGTGATTGGCGATAGAGTAGCAAGCAGGAACGAAAGAAAAAAAGAAAACGCAAAAATTGATCTTTGTTTTTTTATAATCGGTTTAAAAAAGAAAAAGAAAAATCGTAAATATCGAAGAATCTAAAAAGAAAAAAAAAATCTGTCAAAGAAGAAATTTCAAATTTTGATTCGAATAGCTAATATCTTCGCTGCTAAATCCTCGACTCGCGATCGAATGCAATTTTCAACGTTTAGAATCTAATTCCCTAAGCGTGTTTCGAGAGGTTGGCGCGGTTTACGCGACATTCAATCGCTAAATTGGCGCGGTCTCGAGTTTTTTTTTCGAAAGAAGGAGGGAGGGAAGGAGGGATGATGCGGCTTCTCTTCGTCTCCGTCAAGCCTCCTTCTTTGGCCAACTGGCTTAATTACGCCCCTAATTGAACGTCAGACAATCGAGGGAAAGAAGAAAAAAAGCGAGTGAATTGGTCGTTCGCGACGATACACAGCGAATTTTCTTTTTTTCTTTTCCTTTTAGAGCCGCGGAGAGCAAACGAAAAGATAAAGGAACCACGAAAAAAGAAAAAGAAAGAACTTTTTTCGTCTTTTTTTAAATATCGTATCATAGGAAAACAGTGTTCTTGGTAAATTGGACGAATACCTCTCTGTTTCGCTTTTTTCGACTCCTCTTCCGAGTGCCATCTTTTGCCTCTCAACTTATATTATTCGTAAATAGTTAAGTTTTATCGAGAATCGAGGAAAGCAGAATAATTCAAATTTCTTTTCCGTTCGTTTTCTAAAAGAGCCGCTGCGATATCGTAAGAAATTTTTACATTTCAATTACCTTTCAATTACGTAAAGTAAACGTAGTAGGACAGAGATATCTTTGTTATTTATTACGACAAAATGTTCGAACATTCAAGATCTCGTTACAATTTATATATTCTAAAAAAAAAAAAAAAAATAGAAAACCAAAGATATAAAATTATCGAAAAGATATCCAATCCCTCGACTCGTATTATTCATAGATTTTTCTCAAAATTCGTGATTGTAAATTACGTCTAAATTTATTTTCTAATTAAGTAAATTTACTAATTTGAAATACATCCCTCTCCTAAAAAGCAAAAAAAAAAATCGAGGATTACACGCACGATTGAAAAAAAAAAACACGTAAAAATAAAATTTTTTTGTTATTCCTCTTTTTTTTCTTTTTATATATATATATTTTATATTACGATCCTGCCTCATTTTTATCATAAAACTGCCAAACTATCGAAACAAAATTGGCGTCCATGATCAAATCGTTTTTGATAATGATGGACGACCGAGTAATAACGTGGAATATCGCTTGCCCCGCGCGATCTAGAAGAAAAAAAGAAGCAAAAAGTGGAAGAAAGTAGAAAAATGGAGAATTATCGATGATGTTGAGATTGTTTGTCATAGTATATGCGTTATTATATATATATATATATATATATATATATATATATATATATATAGCATCGCGATATACAATATAGTATATGAATAGTCGGATTGCAAAATGACTTTGGCCGGAACGACGAAGTTGATCAGTCGATAGAAGAAAAAACATGATGAAAACGCACATTGAAGACGTTTGTTAATATCGATATTACGATCTGCTTCTTTTCACCACTATTTTTTCTTTCATTTAATTTTTCTACGAATTTTTTCAAATTTAAGATATAAATAAATTATCTTTCGAGTAAACGTTATATTTAAATAATTACCACACATTATCGCGTAGTAATGGCTCTGAAAAAGATAATCTGAAATTTATTTGTTCTTTTCCTTTTATTTCACATAGCGTAAAATAAAAAAAAAAAAAGAAAAACAGAGCGCGGAATAAAAAAATTAGAAAAATATTCCATCTTTTTTCCATCTTTCATTTTTTCTTCTTTTTCAAACAGATAAAAGAAAGTAATTTAAAAGGAATGATTTAAACGGAAGTTGATTCTTTTACCTTTGGATAATTTTGAAATTGGAATAAACGAGTGAAGCAGGAGAATTTTACAAGTTTAACGATAAAATTGGAAAAAAAAAAAAGAAGGAATATCGTCCGTTTCCGTTCTGGAAACAAAATTTAATTAACATAATAAATTAGACATTAATTAAAATCAGAATAATATTAAATTAACTTCGTAATAACGTTATGAAATTAAGTTCAATTTACAATCTTTCATTATACTTTAGCAATCATCTTTAATATCCATTTTCTTTAAATATAATATATATATATACATATACGAATATAGTATATATTGCGATAATTTGATAAAAAAAAGATCATGCTATATTTTCGATCGATATAAAGATTCTCTACGGGGCATGAATCGCGAGATCTCGAGTTAAGTTTTCATCAATCATTCACTTAGGTCTCCTAGTTTATTAGCTTATCCTCTTTTTCATACTCATCTTTGGCGTTCTTCGTCGACTCGATCGAATATCGTTATTTAAGAATCCCGTACGATGATATTTTGTGGTACGACGTCTGTTGTAAATAGAGACGCATACACGCATACACGAAGACAGATAAAAGAGGTGAAAAAAAGAAACAAGTTATATAAATAATTAGAAAAAAGTAAATTACGACGAGGCGATCGAGTAAGATATTACATTCGGAATTGTCGCGTGCGCCACGTTATTCCCTAGAAGAAAAGTTAAACTTATTCGAAAAATGCATCTATAGCTATAATTTAATCCGTGTTTCACGTGTGCGTGGAGCGTTCTCGTTCTTCGAATCGAGGATATATAAAAGATGTTTTAAAAAACGTTCCAAATTTGTTCAATAATTCTCGATAAGCATAGGATATAAAAGAAAAAAAAAAATATATATATATATATATATCTCGTAAGTTAGGTTTAAGCACGATTCTTAATTAAGAGAAATTTAAAAAAAAAAAGAAAAATGTCTGTCTGTTTCTCTCTTTCTCTCTCCTGACACGCACAACGCGCGCCGGAAGCGTGCGCCAATACGAAATGCGTACACACATACACCCATAATACACGCGCACACATTGACACGCATATACACACGAATCCTCTGGAAAATATTAAGCTCGTAGAGATAAACCAAAGATAAGAAAAGTTTGGTGTTAGTCGTTAAGAAAGCTCATTAACACAAAACCGAATATTCAGTATCCGCCTTTGATCGATCATCATCGTTTGAAAACAAGATTAATCGTCTGGAAACTCGAAACCATTGGTGGAGGAGCGTTTCGTTGTTTCGATCGATGAGAGAGAAAAGAAAAATAAATAATACAGCGTAAACACGTTTGACTCTCGTACGATAGGCTTCTAAAGAGCTAAAGAGGAGTTGGACGAACGAACGATGATCCCTCATTTTTTTAGATATACGTACACACGTGTATGTAAAATGGTGCGAATTTTTCTTTCGTATCATCCGAAAATAAGAAACCGTTCTAACAGCAAACGTAGCGAAATCGTAGCATTTTTCTAATCGAAGAATAAGATCGTATGTAAATTTCGTTCTGTTTCGTCGTGACATCGAGAAGAAAAGAGAGAGAAAAATAAGATAGACGAGCACGACGAAGCACAACGAAATTTCGCGATTTCCGTTTCTTTCTTTTTTTTTTTCATTGTGCATAAGAATTACGGTATTGATCGTTGTTTCTGTACGTAAGAAAGGAGAAGAGACGAAGAAAAACAATAAACGTCGAATTTATGAATCATACGTCATGCATCATACGTGAGTGCAAGTACATATGTACACGGCCCATTTCGGATTTTCACTCGTGCATCACATACAATGTTGTCATTATTGATAATTTTGCCGTAATTATTATACATATATACGTATAGATCAGCGTAAGGAATACGCGCATACGAGCTCTTTCTTCTTCACACCAAGTGATTCTAATTTTTAAGCTAAAAACACATGGGCGTGAATGCTCTATGATGTAAGTTCTAAGATTTTGAATATTGTACTACTTATTATTATTATGGATTCACAGTCAAGCCGTAATATGTATTATATGTTCTTTTGTAAGATCTAAACGATAAATAAATAAATAAAAATCGTCGAAAAAGAAGGACGCAATCGATTTCTCTTTTCTCGATTCAACATTTATCTTTCACTTTCGTTTCGTCGCTTTTTTCGATCAAAGTTTTATTTCACCTTTTAGTTCTAAAATAGTTATAAAATAAAATATATATATATATATATATATAATTAACAACACGTTAGAACAAAGTAAATCCAATAATCGATTCCTGCTACGATCGTGATTCTTTCCGTTCTGTGGTCCTTATTTTAGCACCTCGATGTGTCTTTATTTTAGCAATTGACAACGCGTTAGATTCAATAATCGACTTGTTACGATCGCGATTTTTTTCGTTACGCCGTCTTTATTTTAACATAATCGTCTCGTCGTATGTACACAATTTCCATCGATTCGTGTCTCAACGCAAATCGATCGCGTGTCATCCGCGTCGACATTGAACGACTACTTATTTGTTCCTCGAGTTTTAACTTGTTCGTCTTCGAGCGAGCAACCAGACCACATTTCGTGTCATCCGTGTTCGTTACATTTTTTCCAATTTTTCGATGTACGATCACAAAAATAATCGACCGATCAGTTTGTGAAAAATAAGGTGGTTGAAAATTTATTAATATTTGCTTAAATAAGATAATTTTGCGATTAATTATACTTTCCAAAAAAAATATATTTGATCGGTGTGCACCGGGTGTGTCGGGTTAAACGCGACAAAAAAAAAACAGAAAAAAACACGAGAGAAACGGCAACATTTTAAATTATTACAAATCGTATTAGGACTTCATCGTTCGAAGCTTTTCTACAGAGACGCGGACGTAAGTAGGACGTTCCTGTAAGTAGATTATAAATATAATATATATAAAGTATCTTCGTGTACTAACGATATAATTGGCGACTTGTTTTTCGTTTCATAGAAAAAATAAGTGAAAGAACGATTCTCGATCAAATCAATTCTTCCATTTTAATTGTGTTCAATTAGAATATTGTTCCAAAATAAACATATCGCTCGAACGCTTGTTACGGATCAGATTTCTATTATTCGATTTGCCTTTTTTCTCGAACGATACGAGGTAACGGTCGTTAAACGATTCGAAACGGGTATTAAAATTGATCATAAGCGTAAGCGTAAGCTTCTCGTTTTCACGGATTTCGCGACTTTGCCACCGATTTCGATCACAAACAAACACACAGTAACGATGTGTATTTCGAGCCGGACGAGACTCGCTTATTTCGGAATAATATTGTAATCGAATAAAATATTAATCAAAGGGAATCGTATGAAATTTTACGATGATTGGAAATGGTCCAGGATATGAAAAATATCTTCTTTCGATCGAGAGTTCGATACGATTAGTTTCGAGTCGTATTATAGTCGTATGTATCGTTAATTGAGCAGAGGAGAGGATCGATACGAAACCGGGATAAATTAAATCGAATCTGTAAATGCGGACCAATTACCGAGGCTTTAGCTCCGCTTGTGCACTTAACTCGGTGTAATTTACAACCGACATTCCGTGTGTTGATGCTTTCGCGAGTCTGGTTTCACTTAATCTCCGAAGCTCGGATGCGTGCACACTCTGGTCCACGAATAATGGGGTTAAAGATCTCGCGTTACGTTCGATAAATTTACCATAAACTTACTGAAATTTCAATTTCGACCAATTGGAATAATGGAACGCGTCAAAAAATAACAGTCGATACTTTGAACCATCGCTTTATCGCGATTACAATAATTTCGCCTACTCTGTAATAATGGAAATTAAACGAAATCTTATAGTAGTTTTACGGTATAGGCATTTTAACTTTCGATTTCTTTTTTCGATTCGATGAAACAAAGTATCGTAAATCGTATTTGACGATTTCATTCGTCATCATTCTTGATACAGGAATAACTCGCAACGAACGAAACGGAGAAGAATTCTTTTGTAATTCGCTTATTTCTAATTTAGAGAAGCATTTAGAAAAACGTTTTAAAAAAAAATATTCCGTATCGCTAAAAATTTCATTAATTTCCTTTCCTTCTCTCGACAAACGTCCATTCAAAAATTGAGAAAATTATTACACGATCGTAATACGAATACTCGAATCTTTTTTTAAAATTAATAATTTTAAGAGGAATAAATTATCGTTGTTATTTAAAAATTTGGAATAAAAATTTTAGAAGAAATTGATCGAAATATAAATTCGTGGTTCGACGAAGAAAAATATAGACGCGATAGCAATGCGATTGGCTAAAGCGAAGGAAAATTGATTTTCTCGTAAGAAATATGAAATTTTATAAATAACAAGGAGGGAAAAAAGAGTAAAGAGACGAAAATTGATATTAAAAATGTTTGGAAGAATAATTCTATGAAAAGGATATAAGATAAACAAATTTGAATCAACGAATTATTATTTTTCTGACTAATCGAACGATAAATCATACGTAAAAGAGAAGAATAAAAATTTATCGAAAGAACGTGCTATTTTATAAATTACGTAGGAAAATTACGCGACATATACATTTATAAATATAATGAACAAATTACATACTCGAATCATTTTGTTTGTTGCAAAATCAATTTCGTACAATATTTATATAATCGAGTGAATGAACGAATAATATTTATGAAACAACGAATTGAAATTGAAATATATGTACAAAATTATTGATGAGAATTTGAACATGTAGGAAAATTGTTAATTTTTCCTCAATTGAACAAACAAGTAAAAAGATAGGGAAAAGGAAGGAGCAAAAAAGAAAGAATATAACATAACGAAGGAAAGTGATAAATCAAAAAATAATAAATAATTAACTAATAAACTTTCAAAATTTGTTGTTGTTTGATCAAATCTATCGGTGACCATTTCATCCATGAGTGATCCTCTAGACTTAAAATGCGATTCAATATAAACGAATCAATCGACGATATCAAAATATTAATTAACCATTAGGTATATTTGTATGAATAAATCGTTTAAAAATGATTCGAAAAATCATAAATCGTAAGAACGCGTAATTGGCGATGAAATATTTTACCAAAGAAATTTATAGATGTTTGAAAACATGATTTGAGAAAAGCAACGAATCGTTCGATTTCACGGAATATCAATTAATTGCATTTCCACAATCTGTTGTTGTTCGCAATCTGATCGACTTTCCCCCCCTTCTCATCCCGTCGCGACGTAATACGCGATGAAATATTTTGCCGCAAACATCATTTAACGTTTCAGAGGACTGGACACGAATAAATCCTCATTCTCGGACGGCACACTTTCAATTAGTCCGGCTAATTGTCGACGATGATACGAGTCGACCGAGTGGTTTCACGTTTCAACTTGAGAAATTCTCGCATCTTCGTGGGATCCGTATAGTTGCCTATTTCTGGAGAGTTAGACCATGCCTTCGTATCGTCGACAGCGTGGAATTATGTAAAGGGACCAATTGTTGCCAATTCACAGAGTTTATATAAACTTGTCGGGTGTTCTCGATGGATAACTATAGTGTTTTGTGCGTGGAAATCGTGTTGAAAACACGGTGGCTCTTAGAAGAGAACCGATCGTTACCGGACAAGAAATAAGATTCGAAGTTGGACGCAATCGTTATCGCGCGATTCGTTTCGTCAAAAGGATAGAAACTTAGCAGAGGTAGGATAGATCGATCGAATCAATTTTTCAAAGGATATTTTTCCACTTTGTCGTAGTTTATTACACTCTATATAATTATATAGACTTTCGCCGTTACGAGCGAAATATTTGCGCTTTTTTGGTAAATTAAACGTATAAACTGAGATAAAATCTGGGATAAATGAAAATAATCGATCGTGTAAGAATAAACAGAATGATAAAAGCGAACAGGCGAAAATGATCAAAGAAAGAAGAAATGAAGAGAAATCGAATCATTTAAACGAGTTCAGGGCTGTTCGATGAAAAGGAAATTCGATTTGTTCGCCGTGTGGGCAAAGAAGTGTACGCGAGGCAGAGGTTCGTGGCAAATTGATTTTCGTCTATGTTCCCCCTCCCCCAACACCTGGAATAGCCATACGCTGGCGAGAAAATAGGGACGAGGAAAAAATAAAGACGAAAGGGTACAAGTAAGCTAGTTAGTTAGCCGAGCTCGTCGTTATTCTAAAAAAAGCCCCCTCCCCCTCCCCCTTTGTAAGATAAATCGCATAATTTATGAAACCAGCTTCCGTATAATCCTCTGCAATGTTTGCAGGGGTGATTTGCTTCTGTTTCCATCGAGAACCCATTCCACCGGCCGAGTTTTCCGCGTGGAAATAATTGTACTGCTCGCAAATCAACTCTGCTCTCCTTTCGCCAAAGAGAAACACGACCACCATTGGGATAGAGGGAAACTTCCTTGTTTCGTCCATGCGTTATCAATTTGTTAGCCACGCGAATCGGCCAATCCTCTATCTTCCTCCATTTTTCCCCGAGTTTAATTAACTCAGACTTTTCCAAAAATTAAATCCCATATTTTGCTCTCTCGAATGAAACATCTAAACTTTCTCCCAAGAATCGGCCGTTCCAACTTTCTTTCCAAACTTTTCTGATATTTTTAATATTTTCTCATTCACGGAATTCTTAGTTAATTTACGACCATGTTATTCGTTCGTTCCGTAACGCCATATCTATTTTTCTCGAGTATTGATTTTTATATTTGATTTAAAAAAGAAAGAAACGATATAGGGGAAAAACAAAATGCGCGAGAAAAGAGAATGTTTTGAGTAAAAGTTTGAATTACGAGCCCCATATTTTTCCGGCGGCTCGAAATCGGCACAAGTTTTTTTCACTCTCTTCAGTCAATTTTCCATTCAATTCGAGAACATTCTTTCATACGAATATCGATAACTTTTATTTTTCTTATTTTTTTTTTTTTCCATTCATTTTTATTCTTCTTTTTCTTTTCTCCGTATTCTACGAACAATAAAAGAGGATAGCATTTATTCCAAAATTCCTTTCCTGAACGTTATTAAAATCGTCTGTACATATATAAAATGCATACGTACAGAAATAATAGGAATTCCAATGATGCAAATTTTCATTTTACTTTAAAGAAAAATTATATTACTTATAAATAGATATTACTTATTTTCACTTGTTCTTGTAAATTTATTATTCGATTGATAATTTGGTAAAAAAAAAAAAAAAAAAAAGAAAAATTAAATTGATAAAGATTAAATAAATACATACGCGATTTTTGAAAAAAAATTACCGTCTCGTTTTGTTATTTCGTATAAAGTTATATAAACGGTATCGTTCAGGCATAGTTTCATTTCTAATGCATTTGATCCCGATTTCGTTGACAATCGCGTGACGCTTTTTGCATCGTCAATAAGAAACTGCTTTTCGAATTCGACGAAGAATCGACCGTTGTAGTTAATCGCGGAATAACAATCGCCGATTGATTTCCCCTTTTATTCGTTGCTCTCCAATGAAAACAATATCATGCGATTTGAAACAGAAACGTAAAGAATTAAAAAAAATAAAAAGAGAACAAAAAAAGATCGTTTTATCGTTCTTTAAATTTCGAAAAATATTTCTCCGCGATTTTATTCCCATTTTATTTTATTTTATCTTTTATTCTCCGTTTTACTACTTTTTCTATTTTTTTTCTTTTATATAAAAGATTTTAAAAAAAGTTAAAATAACAAGAATTATCGATTGTGTTTTTACATCAGAGAAACTCGACTCTTTTAACATCGAATACATCTTCTTCGTATGACGTTTGAAAGAAAGGATTTAAAAAAATTAAAATAACGTAGAATATTGATGTATCGATTCGTTTTTTATGTTATAAAAATTCAAAGAAATAATATACATGTAATATCTTATGGTATTTCAAAAAAATAGAAAGAAAAAATTTGTACTTATATATTTTTTAACATTGAAAACTAAAATCTTGAGAATGTTACTCATTACTTTATATACTTTATTTACTTTATATATAAATAAAATTTTTATCAACGAAAAATATAATCGCAGCCAATTATTTTCATATTATTTCTTATAAACTGATATTAATTATACAATGATATTAAATAATAATGATTTTTTCTTAAGTCTTACCTCTTTGAAGATTGTTGCAAATTGGAAATTTATCCTGATAACGACGATACGTCCCACACGTCTGCTCTTCTTTTGCATAAAAATTTATTTATTTTCAAGTAAATTCTCTTTTATTATATTGTTCTTTTGCAAATCTTCAAATTCACAATGGTTGCGCAACAAAATCACCTTTATTCTCTTTACACAAATATTGATTGTATACTTTACCGAAGACGAATATATTTAAAATAGAAAAATAATAAAAAAATTAACTTAATATGTTCGTTGTATTTTTTTATCAGCGAATGAACACTGACTTTAATTTCGCGTATATTTATTATAATTAAATTTACTTAAAACTATATATTGTGCTCGAAAATATTTAAAAATACTATTACGAAACAAACACTGAATCTACTGACCACATTGCACGTGATCACAATATAATCTGAAATAAAATTATATAAATAGAGAAAGGGGGATGTAGAAAAGAAAACAATATGTTTTCATATTTTTTTCTTTTTTCTCTCAAATATTTGTTAAAAAAGATATTATTATTAATAACATCTTGTGCACATTATATAGCTTATTAAAAATATTCGAAAATTTTTTCAAGTTTTACATAATAAATCATGGATTATTTATATTAAAATATTTTCTACTATCATCTTGATATTTTCAATATATAGCATAATAATTATGAATTACATAAAAATTATACTACACTATATAAATAGTAATTCAAAATAAAATATACAAATACTTACATATATTTCTTTCTTCGATACAAGAATTTAAACTTTATTTCTCCTTTATGAATTGTCATCATGGCATCCATATTGAAAATTCTTTTCCCGCTTAAAGTAACCTCAGTAATCAGTTACATATCTACGGAAAAAATTTAAAATAAATGTATAAAATATATAAAATTAAACCGATTTTATTAAAATAAAACAACAATCTAATTCGTATAATCATATTTTAAAAAATAATAACGAATCAATATTAATTCTAATGATCAAATACGCAAATAAAAAAAATTGATCGAATTATTCTTCAAAAAAAATCAATTATAATGATCAAATATAATTATATTAAATCGAACAAATATGTATAAATGAAACAATAATATAAAAAATAAAAAAATAAGTATCAAATAAATATTATATAATAAACTAGTCACACACCTGAAGCAAAGCGTCTAATCGTCGCGAATTTCGATTACAGAATGACACGTACTGTATCGAACTACAAACTATTCCACAATTCGATAAAACATATCGATGAGCGTAAAATCAAAACAAATACAGAAATGACACGCGAGTTAAACATGGATAATAATTAGAAGAGAAATATATGAGAAATATGTATGTATCTTCTGTAAATTATCTAGTTTCATTTTTTCGTGAATAAAAAGACAAAAGAATTTTAGAATAATTAAGTATCTATTATTATATATGTATTAAAATAAACAAAATCTTATTTATATGAAAATCGTCAAATTATTTTTCAATTATCGTGTATGTCGTCATATGTGTGCAAAAACGTGTGTTACACGCTATCCCATCCACTTTTAATGCTTCGATCAAACGTTAATCTGTCACAAATATATTTAATTTTGATATAATAATGAATAAACAAACAGATGTTACTTAAATCAGGTTCAATTAACCATAATAGAATACTTTATACATTATAAATTTTGCATAATTACGCACTATTACCTATGAAACGAGTCCTATCACTACACTTTTCAACTGTAGACTGACGACATGCGCACAATGATGCGCACTGATTCGTTTTGCTGTCAAGATTTAGTGGCTTTTTGATTGGCTAAAATGCTATTATTCTCTATTTGCTTTAGTGCGCGAAAATTAAACTATAATATTTTATTCTTTAACTGTAGATTTCTATATATCGAAGTTTTCCAATAATTAATCTTCCCGATTAAAAATATAATAAGAGTAAATTATCGTAATTAATTTAATATAAAAATTATTCAAATTAGAAATAATTACCAATTAATTAAAATTTAAAAAAATTTTTTTAAATTTTATCTATTATATATTTAAAAAATAAAAAATATACATAAATATACATGTTTACGTTTATATACATGTTATATACACTGTATATATGTATTAGCTTCATTATTCTAAAAATTCATTTTATTAAATTGTAAAACAAATTAATAGAGAGATATTTAATAGATCAATTTTACGCTAATTTTCAAATAAAATTTTAGATAATAAATTATAATAGTAAATTTCAAGTTAAACAATATTATATGAAAATGATAAAAAGTCCACGTCAAATTCAACATTATTTCTAATTAATCGTAGCATTAAATTTTTTGAAATCTTTTTTAAATATGCATACATAAAAACTCGATTAATCTTGGACTAGAAAATTATGGATAAAAAACGTCTTTTTCGATTGGATTCTCTAACAAAAATACTAAACTATATTAAAAAACCACTATACTCTACATACATGTAGTTATATATTATTTTTGCAACACGGTTCAAGCTTCAATCGTGTTGAATAAGGGGATAGACCTTATATCCGTTGGGGAGATTTAAACGACGAGGTCAATCAGGATCAATCGCGATGTAATTGAATCGTTCATCGTATAAAAGGATAAGCGATATCGCGAACGAGCCGATATATCGAGATATCCGTTCTATGTTTAATTTCTACTCGCACCAATCGTATCGCGAAACGAATGTTTCTGTGTTTTTATTTTTCAAAAAAATAGGCGCAGATAAATTGTCGATAGAATGATTAATTATTCGCGTTAATTCGAGTATATAAAAACTGTTTATCAGAAACAAAAGTGGAAATGTAACCAGAGAGTATGAAAAATCATACAAATTATATAGAATATACGAGAATTGATTTTTCTTTCAGCGATCATTATGGTCATGGTTTCATCGATGTTTGCTCCACTACGATCATTCTTTTATCGTCGTTCGAATTAAGATAATCTCGAGAAACACGATTTAAAAGCACACAATTTTATTCTCATCGAAAGGATATTACGTGATGATCGAGAAAGTAAAAGGACAAACGGATTTTCTTTAATTAGTCAAAAGTTACAAGATTATCTAGATCAAAATGGGAAAGGTACAGTTCAAATCATTTGATATCGTTATGCATGGATCTTTTATCCAATCATGATTTTTTACATATAACGTGGATATTTTTACATAATAAATTATGCTTAATCCAATTGTATTATTATATTTTTGCATGCTCACTCGCTATTTCGCGTAAAAAGCGAGTCGAAACAAAATTAAATTAACTTTATCCAAGGCCATATTTTTAATCGATTCTTTTTCTAGAGATAAACTATTCTTTCGAACATCTGAAAAATATCAATATTCGTCATGACTAAATTATAAATATTTCATAATTAAATCGTGCAACGTTTCTGTTTGTCACGTTTTTTCTTTGAAGTGTAACATGATAAAATCGACAAAGTATAAGGTAACAAAATCATAGGCAAAATCATAGACAAAATCATAGCGTTGCGAGATTTTTATCTTTAATGTTATCATATCATCTCATTAAATCTCTCCCTTCGTCGCTTCCATTTTACTCATACGATTTGTCTTACAAATATTATCTTTATAAACGGATTAAAATGGTTTTTCTATTCTATCTCTTGATTCTCAAACTTTCCAATAATTATCCGCTCTATCTTTTCGTTTCGTCCATTTTAAGCGTATTTATGTTGCGTTAATAAAATATCATGATTTTTAAATCGAATCATTTATAATATTTTATCTGAAAATTAAATAAATAATAATAAAACGAAAAACGGATAAACATTTTTATCCGAGTTTTATTCATTTCCTTCTTCTTTCTTTCACTACAGGGAATGTTTTTCTCAAGCGGAAAGCAACAAGTATACCAGCTATTCTTCATCCAAATCGTCCTAATTATAGTAATGGGCGCATTGATGACATATGGACCAGAAGCGAACGTTAATTTACTAAAAAATCGCACAGGTCGGTATATGTTTAGATACCTACACCACGTGAACTCATCGAACTTTAAAATTATCAAAATCCTGTCGATACTTTTTCCTTTTTCATAAAGGAACGTCCATTTTTTTCAAAATTGATTTTTTCAATAATTTGTCATAGCAATAATTGGTAAAAATTGGTAATTGGTATTATAAATATTCGATCGAACGTTTCACAAGATAATAAGTATAAAATACTGGTTTTATCTCGATAAACGAATAAATCAATAAGAAAAAAATCGAGAAAAAAAATATCATCCCTATTTTCCTCGTTTTATTGATCCATTATTATCTAATTTTAAACAAATTACAAGATGTACGACGAAACGATTAGAAAAAGAGAAAAGAAAGAGAAACGAAATAGATGAAAAAAATAAACTATTTTTCTTTACCTACTTTATTTCTATATCAAAACTATAATAGGAGTGAAAATTGTAAAATGTCGCGAGTAAAAGTGAAAGGAAAAATATTCGTTTGCATTTTGGCATGGTCGAATTTCGAGGTTAAATCGAAGAACAAAAGATTGGAGGAACCGGGAAGGAAGAGAAGAACGTTTCCGATTTTCAGCGAGATGAGAATAAAAGGAGAAAAGGAAAGATATCCTCTGGCATGATCTCGTGGAATTCATAAAATTTGCCCAACATCGAGCGTGCATACAATCGAAGGAATAATTAAACTTTCAGGCGAACACGGACGGAAACACATCAAGAAGCCGGATACAAACCCGTTACTAGTTTATCCGAGTGAGTAACGAATTTACTTAATTCTATATTTATACTCGCCCCATGAGAAATGAAATAGGGAAAGATTTGTCCTTACTTTGCCTAATAAAAAACGAGCCGTAATCGGTCGATTTTGATATTAGAGATTTATGACTTCTCGACTCTCGCATACACTTTGAGAACGTGCAACTATGCAGAGTGTTAAATTCACGTAACGAGCTTAAAATCTTCTTTCGTAAAAAACGCTAATTCCAACGTTATACGTAATTTGTTTCTTTTTCGTTTCGAATCAAATTTTTAAAATTTCATTCGTTCTTTGATGCTGGAACGCTTATTCGAGATCAACTTGAATCATTGGATACTTTATCGCTTAAAGAATTTAAATGTAAAGAGAGATGAAAGTCAAAGTCTAATGAAATTTAAATATAAAAATTTAATCAAACGTTTTTGAGTAATATTGTACGTGAAACGTTTAAATTAGAGACAATATTTTAAATAAATCAATTTGTTACAACGACATATATTCGACATATATCATTATAGATCGAATGATAAATTTTTTAAACAATTTATCAGTTATTAAAATTTCTAATGTGTCTTCGTCGAAAATGAATATAGATAATTGTCTATATTCGATACGTGATGCGATCAAAAAGCAAAAAAGATTATCAAAAATTCAATCAATTCAAATACCGAAATTCGTTTTCAAATTTGAGAAATCGCGTTAAATAAAAAATAATAATATAATTATGCGAAAAATAATTATAAAAATCTAATATAATATATAATTATAAAGATTTATTAAAACATATTTATTTATATAAAAAAATCGCAAATCGACCAAATTTATTCTTCCTATTAAATCAGAAATAAAAATGAAAAACGAGTCGTCTTTTCTTCTATCGTTTCAACAATTCGTTCGAATTCGTTAGAATTTTTAATCACTCGATAGAATAAATAGGCGATATGCGTGAAAATACGAGATCAAAAGATCAAAAGTTTGACCTTTCTTTCCTTCAAAGATCGCATCGATTTCGAAAAAAATGTTCACGGTAGCTCGACGTGCATCGTATACCACCCAGAATCACGCGAATCGTGTCGTACGAGTTACAATTCCTCCTCTATAATCAGATT